TACCATATTTATATTTATATATGTGTGTTCGTACATACATGTATATGCATGTAGATGTGCACTATTTATACAGTAGTCTAACTACTTAAAGACAAAGCGAAAAGGGGAGAAAAGAATGGGGTAGATAGAAACCTGGCGCTAGTCTATAACAGGCATTCTAAAATGCCTACACCACTAAGTGATTGATCAGTCTGGAATGTATGTGACGGTGTCATCGACAGGCCGTCAATTCATACATTATCTTCAGTCAAGCGCAAGGAGACGTTACAGGGACCCTGTTCGGGAGGGGTCCAGCAACATCAAAAGTCCCCGTATTCCCTCACGCCCTTCGGCCAAGTCACAAATTAACAACCTCGATGTTAGTACCACCCTGCAGAAGGCTCATAGAACTTCCATCTGAGAAGCCTTCACCCGAACAATCGGTCAATACCGACCACGTGATGTAAGTTGTTTGCTTGGGGAATCAGATGAACTATATCCTGTCTATGTTCAAGCCAATAATGCTGCTAGTCAATGGCTGTTGGCTTGACAATATAGTCTTCAAATGCTAACGGGGAAGCTGTAAGTTCGAATCAGCCTTGGGGATTCGTGATGTGTGAACTGCTGTACAACTGTGCATTTCGTACCGAATTCTAGGAATAGATTGATTTCACTTACAAGATAAAACAAAATTCGGTACCCTTCTCCTTTTAAGGGTGGCATCGAGGGTCATACGAAAATATGACTTTGCATCACGTGACTCACCACAGCGTAAAACAGCCCAAAGCATCCGTGATGTTCTGCGACATTTGGATCAATAGTTGGACGTAAACCTGCCTGCGAAGTGAAGTCAGTTCTTAGTTGTGTTCGGACAGGCTCCACTAGTCCTGATTGGCAGTTCTTGAGGAATTCCACAGCCAGTTGCTCGTGACTACCATAATTGGCAACAGCACTATCCGATTCACTGGCACTTTCTTCTTGTTGAAGTTGCTTGAACCGAAGCTCCCACAATTCCGCCCAGTTCAACAGAGCCATTTGGCTCGCCCCCGCCGAGTTGCTTACCGCGTTGCCATTCTGTAACCAGTCAGACAAACTGGAACGAACAAAATTCTGCAGGAATCGACATTTGGCGACTTGCGCTTGAATAGTCCGGAGATTTATCGTCCTCATTTTCTGAAATTCCTTGCTGAAATGAAAAATGAAATCCCAGAATTCTGTACTCAAAAGTTGTAGTAGTGGAAAGAACATTTCTGGGCTTTCTAGTGTTCGTTCAATGACCCAATTGAGCTTAATTTACTAAAAGGATTTATTTCACATGGCTCCGTTCTCTACAGATTTGATGGAAGTCTGATTGCTGCGTGAAAAATTCAGGACTGTTTTAACAATTCAGTAGTTATCTCGCTTAATTAATCCATAATTTTCATCGAACCACTAAGTAGCGCTGAAAGCGGTTCTTTCTTTTGGAGGTTCCCCAATAAGACTTTCAAATAAATCATGGTTGTACGGCGGTGAAGCATCAGTGCTGAACATGGATGCCATTCCGTCAGTGATGTTATCCGCCTAGTGAAATAGACGCATTTTTCAACTACTCGTTACTTTTCAGTAGGCTCGGATAACAGAGATTGCTAGGTAGATTAGGCAGATAGGATCGCCATTCGTGAATGACCCGAACCTTCGTACGACCCACCAGTGATCCAAGCTGACTTGGCAATTCACTATTATCTCGTCCGACTAGGTCGCTGAGATAGTCTTATACACTGGCGTCGCAAACGACTGTGAACGCCCAGCAACCTGAGGACAACATGTAGGATGCTGAAGTGGACTGGAATGTAGACCATCTTCTTGAGTTCAGAAACAAAGCATGCGGGAAAGAATGGTTTTTATCGTAAACGGGCACTGTTTTCTCTCTCTCTCTCCCTCTCTGGACTCATATGATTCATATCGACTGCCCGCAGCCTAAAAATGATATTAGTATTGTACACTTTGAGAACACGTTTTTATGACAGTAGCATGGTGAGTTCACTTCTTTAAAAGAGCCCCCAAGAAGCAGATTGCAAGAATGAGGCAAAACGGCTGGATCCCATATTTATTTGCATAAACAGAGCCAAGCAGACGCCAAAGATGCTGTTTCCAGGACAATAACTTCCGGACTAAAAATCATTTTACGAGCACATTCTATACCGTAAGACGTGTTCCGGAAATTTGGATATTGGTTAAACCGGCTCTATCAGTCTGTTCTCAAAATGTAAATACTTCATAGAGCAACCAATCAGAAAATTGACCAACACACTACTCACTTGTCTTCAAAAGTAGACAGTAAGGAACCTGACGAACAATTTCTTGTTGGGATCCCGGTCAATACTCATCTAATGCTTAGGTAGTTAACTCAGTAAAAATTAATTAAGCAGTAAGCTTGCAAGACAAATTGTGGTTTTCCGCATTCAACAGGTATTCTGTGTGCATCACTAGCTGACCGGTAGAATAAAAGGTCGGTTAACTGTATGCCGCAGCGCTTAGGTAGTTAAGTCAGTAAAAATTAATTAAGCAGTAACCTTGCAAGACAAATTCTGGTTTTCCGCATTCAACAGGCATTCTGTGTGCATCACTAGCTGACCTGTAGAATAAAAGGTCGGTTAACTGCAGGCCGCAGAGTTCAGTGGGTTCCAATCTCAAGTTGTGTGCCAAAAAGCCAAGGCAATCAAGCCACCAGTAGTGACCATACACATATGGTCTGGCCGCCGAGGCAGTCCAGCCTGCATAACCAGGAGCGCTTTATACGAGCGTTTAATTTACGTACCAGTGTGTCAATTTGCGATGATGAACTATGACTTCTTTGAGTACCTATTACTGAAAAATGAAGTGAGTAGTCAGTATGAGTTAACTTCCGTTGGTTTTCGGTTTGATGTAATCTGGTTTGAAAAGATAAAGCATTTGTGATGTACTACTCATAAGGCTGCTGAAAATCCATCGAAAGCCCACGACCGGTTTCGCCCTTCTTGGGGCTCATCAGGTAGGCGCAGTCCCCGGGTTTCCGNACCCATTTGCATACCAATTTGGTTCTTTCGAGAGACTCACCTGGAACCCAGCTGAATCTCTCGTTTATCATGTTCTCAGCTGGGTTCCAGGTGAGTCTCTCGAAAGAACCAAATTGGTTTGCATATGAGTGTATATTCGCCAATAAGGCATTTGTATTTTACCAGCCAAAAAGCACACAGATTAAAACCAAATGTAGCTTTTATAGTTTTATAATCGACATTATAACCAATTGGTTGCATTTAAGACTTGAAAGCAAGAGTATTGTGCATTAACGTCAATTTTCTTTGCAGAAGCAAGTAATTCAACAATCACTTACGGTGTTCACGTGACTTACTCCAGTGTGTCGTCGATACTCGGCTCAGCAGCGGACGAAGTCAAGCCTGGTTGATTTACCGGGCTCTGAATCCCCAGTTCTGACTCAGGCGGCTTGTTTGCTGATAGCTGCATAAATGGAGGTCGTTCTGATCGACACCCATCCGGGTCGAACTTTGCATCTTGAATTCCTTTACCGATTGCATCCAGCAGCAGTTCTTGCCACAGATGACGGTCAAGGCCTTGAGTATTGCATTCCAAAAGACGCTGGAAAACAGGTTCGGCCATGTATCGTTCAACTACCAGGTTCTTGTACATACTGGAACGCACGGATGCGATTGACTTGGTTACCACTGCCTGAATGTTTTATAACGGGCAACAAACAAATCAACAAACTTGAGAGCTGATAACAAGCGCATGGTTGTGATTCTAGATTGAGATAATCCTAAATAGGTCACTTGATTTGATACTTAAATGACTCCCTTTTCCCTGGTATTTTTGAACTCAGGCCTGCCTTAAGGTTTATTTGAGCAGGTAATCGAGGCAGTGGTGAAATACGCCCACAATAAGTTTGGGGAAAATGGTCGGTAACCCACTGCATGGTTCACCCTGTTTTGAGTTCATTAGATGTCAATGGTCTCCAGATTCACACCGGCACGGATAAACTTTACTCAGCGGTCCAACACAAGAAACATTAGTCGACTTTCCGCGGCGGTCTGACCAGTCAAACTGTTTGTCATGACTAGTACTCACAGAGGACTTGACCAATCAGTGGGTAGGAAAATGAGCGGAATCCACTCTGTCGTAATCACTGCGGTCGAATTTAGTCACCTAAATTAGCAACAACAATTCGACTGTGACCCTCCAACGATAGAAATGAATTATCTCAAGCAGGCGAATTAACAAAACAAGAAGTCTCTAGGAGGTGACGCGTCAAAAGACTTCATAGTATTCTTATCCCAAATTCTTAGATCTTCACACAAATTTTGTGCTCAGTGTTAAAGGTTGAAGTGTTCTTACGAGGTCAGTATACCTTCCCGATATTACAGAGGCCAAAAACGAGGTGTCTAAAATGGTATTTGAGGAGTGACTAGAAATCAGCTTGATAGATATTGAGGCCACAATCCTGACCATACCACTACTTTTCTGCCTCATTTCAAACCGTATTACCAAGATCCTTTTTCAGTAAGAGGTCTAGAGTACCAGTTTGTCAGACAACGTCCCTGAAAGCTCCATCAGTCAACTAACTCCATTGGATTCTGTACAGCATTTGTTATCGTCAACAGAGAACATCTTCGGTCTGTCCTGAAAACCAATGGCTTTTCGGATAACTTTCGAAGTCTGTGAAGAACAGACGTACACTTTGAAATCTGTTGTTTGGCAAGGTTGAACTATGTCTTTCATTGTCGCATGCCCTAAACGATTTCCCTGGAGAACCAATAAGCACCATCAACTTGATTACAGACCGCTATCACACTGATGAGATCATCATTCTGAGCAAAGTTCCAACAGAAATGCGACATACTGTTGGTTGCATCGGCCGCTGTGTTTTACTGGTTGGACCAGGAACAAATCTAGACTAGGTCGATTACTTCACAATAAGCAGAAATGTCCACTCCAGGCCGCTCAGTGTCCGCGGACACCCAAAAAAAGATAGCGTCAGTGCATCCTTACAATGTTGCACAAAAACTTTCAAACGAAGACTTTTGTATACACTGCGGCCATGCACTTGTGAGGACTGTCCTTTCCAAAATGATGACTTTACCAGACTCGGTGTACCCGATCACTCGTACTTGGACGAACCACAATGGATCCGCTGATGGTATCATGGAACTCTTTCGTAATACCCTTCACCAGTCCAAACAGATCCAGCGACAAAAACGGATTGAACGCGACCCTTGCAAGCCATATTTTGAACTCTAGCAGTGCCAGCTGACCCATCGAAGAACCGTAAAAACAGTCGAACACAATTTGGTTTTCTTGAGAAACTCAAGTGAGTCTCTCGCTTATGATATTCTACAACTGAATGTGCTGCACACAGGCTGCCTCATGTTTCAGTAGGCACGATAGAATATCATAAATGAGAGATTCAGTTTAGTCTCTCACGTGAAAACCAAACTGATTTACAAATGAGTATATTTCTCGGAAACAGCGCAATTTGGGTCCAAGTAGATCATAAGGTTGACGGAAACTCGGGGACTGCGCCTACCTGATGAGCCCCATGAAGGGCGAGACCGGTCATGGGCTGTCGAAGACTTTTCGGAAACCTCGTGAGTAGTTTCCTTTATGAAAATCGAACACATGCCGTACCCTGACCGTGCTCCACCGGCAGCAACGATTCAGGATGTCCTTGAAACCAAGTCATCCGTCTCCAGTGAGAACTCCCCATAAGTAAAGTTCGTTGTAAAGAATGAGTAAAACTACGTGGATATTGTAGTAAACCCAAAGAACTGTTTCGCAGATGAAGGTTCACCAGCCTTCTCTGTTCTCTTCCATTCTCACAGTGATTCAGATCCATTTGAGTAATCCGGGAAAGATAAAGGGGTTTTTAGAACATCTACAAAGTTGCCATGAATGTCTTACTTCCATGGTTGTGAACAACAATCGTTTATTACTTCCACTCAGCCCATTCATAAACCATTTACAGCCTCCAGAAGACGAATAAACAATCTAAAATCTCTAAGCCTCTTTAATCACAACATTTTTGTGCCCAATTTGAAATTCAGACAGAAAATCTTGAACCTCACAACAAATGAGAAGTTTTGTTTATCAAACCTAAGGTTTGTGCTGGGGAATTCCGCTGCAATGAGACAAATGCCTGCCAGCTGAAAGTG